AAAACCATGTACCATATTTTTTTTGCATTCGTTGTGGTGTCAGCATCTATATTAAATAACAGTCTGAATTCTGTGGCATTTTGAAAATCCAGGTAAGCACTGTCTCCCTTTTCAGGGACTGTAATGCTGTTTTGGTGAATGGAGAGGGGTCTGGAAGATGGTGGGTCTCTTCTGGGGCTGGGCCCATGCACACAGGGGGTGTTCTGATTATCTTCATGTTTCCCTCCAGTTCCAGCCCTTCTGGAAGAGGTTGCCACCCACCTTCTTTTCTCAATTCAGAAATGCTATCGAGGGCATAGTTTTTAAAACCAAGAGCAACCTCACAAAGTACCTCAGTCTGAGCACTGGGACCTACGTGGTGGTCACCTCTGCCCACAGTGAAGCAGTTGGGTTTTTACTCCGAACCTTCCTGAAAATGCCAGATGGTGACAGGTACAGAAATGCTGGGCTTCTGAATGTTTGATTCCACTTAATTTTATAAAAACACATTGTGTCATCCTGTGCTGCAGGTGCTGTGTCAGTAGGGGACATGGCATGGGCCTCGCTTGCAAGAAGCTCACCACAAAGGGTGGCGAGAAAGTCCGAACCAACAAGTAGACCATGAACAGGATGGAGCCATTGCTCAAGAGAAGTGCAAAGTCATATGGGAGGACAGAGGAGAGGGATCCACCTCGGGCAAAAGGGATTGAGGAAGGCCTCTTGGAGAAAATGGCATTTGAGCTAGTCCTTGATGGAAAACATAGTCTAATGCTTAAAGGAAAAGGTAGTGCAGGTAGAAGAAAAAAAGCATGAGGGAAGTGGGTGAGCACAATGTCAGCCATATGCCCGGGAAGTACAGATAAGTGATGTCAGCCATATGCCCAGGAAGATCATACATGGCATGCAGGGCAGTTGTCTGAAATGTGACCAGGGGGTGGGGTGGGGTACATCAGGGCGACCGTGAAATATGGGCCTGAAAGACAGAGGCCAGTCATGGAGAGTCTTGAGTGCTAAGTCCATGGTCAAGACTGGGATCAACAAGTACACATCCTGCTGGGCACCTGATCCCCTGTTGGGCCTGAGGCAGACATTGCTATAATCATGGCCATCTTAACAGGTGAGCATGGATGGTGCCTCAGTCCGACATACCAGATAGCCACTGTACCACCAGGGTTGGAACATAAGACAAAGCTTATCTGCTGTCTTGGCAATGGGGGTCACCGTACATGTGTATCTGGTTGTGAAAGGAACCATTTGCTAAATAGTTTGAAGACCAGATGGTGGCCAGTCAAAGGACTGGACAAGTGGTTATGATGCTTACCTGTCTGCTGACTGTCATGGTTGCCCACGTCACATCCCACTGTGCTGAGGGCCCTTCACTCAGATCCTTGGTGTAAATGTCCAGTGCCACCAAGGGTGTCCTCCATATACAAGCTGCCTTTAAATAGTGAGCCATTCATCCTTGTCACACTGTTTCCCTGTTTTTCTAGGAATCTGGGCAGCAATTTCAACCTCACAGCACCAAAGGTAGGTATGTGAAGGCTTCATTGGCCACATCCTATCCCCAAGAACTTCTGTCTCCTTCTTACCTCAGCACTGCCCAATGAAAACAGAGACACCGTAATGGGCTGATGATGGCTCAAAGGGGCGGGGCAGGGGGGAAAAGACCAAGCCTCCAAGGTCAGGCTGGACCCAGTCATCTTCCTTCCACAAACTTTGGTGTTCTCATTCCCCTACAAGTTTTATCCAATTGCTGGATGAAGCCTCTGACTCAGATCCAGGTGTGGGGAGTGGTTCTTGTGCCTTTGCTGTACCAGACAGATAGCTTCTTTCCTCAGAAATTTGATATTGACTCTTTTCCCTTTGATCCGGGCAAGTCTTCCGGAAAATGGCTCCCAAGAAAGCATCTTCCACAGATATGATCAACAGGTACAGTACTTAGCACGGGGATGAGTGATGGAGCCACCAGGCTCTTATCAGGATACAGAGAAGAAAAGTGACTTGGTGGGTCATTTTGTCAACCTCTCTCCCTGGATGTCTCCAGAACCGATCTGGTTACCAAGCCCTGGATAGAAGTGGCATCCTAGCTGGGTGACATCTGGGCTGGAATGCAGAGCTTGGTGAGGGTGGGGCTAATGATGGGGGTGGGGGAGTATTTTAAATCTTTAAACAGGGGCACCTGGGTGGCTCAGTTGGTTAAGCGGCTGCCTTCGGCTCAGGTCATGATCCCAGGGTCCTGGGATCCAGCCCCGCATCGGGCTCCCTGCTCCGCGGGGAGCCTGCTTCTCCCTCTCCCACTCCCCCTGCTTGTGTTCTTTCTCTAGCTGTCTCTCTCTCTCTCTCTGTCAGTTAAATAAATAAAATCTTTATTAAAAAAAATAAATAAATCTTTAAACAAATAACTGGCAATACCCCCTGAAATCTTTCCTTCTGCTCTGCCACTTCGCTTGGCATCATTCCTCCCGGGAGCCAGCCAGCTTCAGAAAACACCAGCCGTGTTTTTCCTGCCAAGCCACCTATGTGCACAAAGGATTTTCTTAATGGTTTAATAAACCGTTATAAAGAACTCCTTGACTTGCCAGGATAAAAACAGCTGCCAAGGGCTCTGCACAATGGGCCTTTTGCCATTAATAGTCATGTTGGTTTGGGAAGTGCAAAGTCATAGATAGATAGATATGACCATGTGTACCATGCCAGTCTTGGGCCAGGCAGAGGCCAGGGACAGGAAGGATGCGAGGCATTCAGAGGGCTAATGGGGTAACTAGGAGGCAGCTTAAAAGGGAATTATTCAGGCAGCCTGGGCCCAGAGGGAAAAGCAAGGAGAAACGAAGAATGTGCCTGTCGTGAGGGGAATATGTTTTAAGGAGCCGCTCAATATGGACCTCCTTGAAATCAATATGGGCCCAGGATTCAGGTCCACATCTGGGCTGATTCAGAAGGCACTTCACTTGATGCAAGACAAGGTCTGCCCAGGTGATTATCCCCAGTCTGTGAGCTCCCAAAGGCAGGGATGGCATTATATGCATTCCTTGTCCCCAATATCTATCACTGTCCTTGGCCCTGAGAAGGTGCTCAGTCAATCTGCATTGCATTAAAACAGATTAGCTTCCCCAGAGCAGATGTCCAAACTAAGTTTACTGCCCCGAGGCAATCAGCAGGACCTAATTAGGATACCTGAGACCAGGCTTCCTTCAGGGGCAGATGGCAAAATCCGCAACGTGGCTCATGCACCTGCACATCTGAATTAAAAAATATAATTTGTCACATGACAAATGGTACAGATTCCCTCTAATCAGGGTTTTTCCAAACAACCACCAAAGGTCTCCTCGTCGAGGGTAACTGGTAGCCTAGATGGGGCCTTTGTAGGAATTAAAAGACGCATGCAGCTCTGTGCCAAGGTGCACAGCTCAGAAGTGGAATAGACTGGACTGCACCCCCTTTTCAGCCCCTGGCTGAGCACCCTGGAACAGGGCCAACCTGGCGTCATTCTGCACAACCCGTGAACTGTCCTCGAAGGCTGTATCCGCAAAGGAAAGTTGAAAGCAAAATGTCTGTGCACGCGCTCACTGAGTCCTCTCTCCTGATCTCTTGTATCTGTTTAGCCTTAAGTGAACTCAATGACACACTACCGCTACCATGAGTTACCTACATCAGCCGTGACAGTGGTGACGCCACTGTAACCCAGGGGCTGCCTGGGAGAAAGGAAGGACATGCTCAGCCCCTGAGTCAGGTCATGGCCATCTAGCCATTTATTCAATTGGCAAACATGTACCAAATATTCCCAGCACCGCACCAAGCTTTGGCGATGCAGAACATCAGTCCTCAGGGAATCTTATGTGGAGGTGCTGGAGACAGACGTGCAATTCTTTGGGTATTTGTTTAAGGCAATCTTCATCTCCATTCCTATCCTCATTTCCTCAAACGTTTTGGTCCAGGTCAGGGACTGTCCTAGGGTAGAGAGACATGCAGAAGGAAGGAGACATGGTCCGTGTCCCAAAGCTACTTATATTCTAGTTGGTGACTCCACATAAGTTAGAGTTCCTTGCCAACGGCTCTGCAAGTTAGGTGCCATGATTCTTTGGAGGAAAAAACTCTGTTGATCGTGGGCGCACAGTGCGACTGTTCTGATGTAACCCAGCCGATGAGATGTTGGAGGCATGGCCTGAGGGCCAATTTCAAACACTGGCAGCATGTTTTTCTCAGGGGCAATGAAAGGGGTTCTTCCCTGAGGACAGGCTGTGGGGCTGCTCTTGCTGTCAGTTAGGTGGTGAGGCCAACCAACCCCGAGGACAGCATGTCTGTGGGTCTGTGGGGTGTCCATTCTCAGAAGAACCCAAAGAGACACCTTCTTCCGCCCGACCCCGTCCCACTCTGCAAAGCCATCTGCTGAGGGACCTCACTCTGGCTCCTTCCCCCACGTGAAGCTCTCCCAGGATGCTGATGTCACATCAGCCCCTCAGCTTTTACCGGCCTGCATGTGAGAAATGGCCGTGCGCAGCACCGCTCTTCTTCTCTGTGGAATCATCGTGGAAGACGCCCCCCACAAAGCTGCTCAATGTCCCTGGGAGAAGACTGAATGCAGTTAACAACTTCAGAAGTTCAGGCTGGAAAAAGTTTCTCTCCCCTCAGCCTCCATTTCTTCCTGTTTTTAATCCAAGGAAAACCTTGACTTCCTTTATGGTTCAGTGGCTAGGAAGACTAATGCTAAGTAATGTGCTCCATTAGATCAGCTTCTCTTAGCCTAGATTCCTGACACTTTCATCTCCTCTGCGCGCACACACATGCTCATGCTCACACTCACTCTCTCAACAGTCCTATTTTCTCTCCATCCCTTTCTGGAAGCAGATGGGAAAACACACCTACAGGGCTGTGTCGATTCATTCAACACTTCTCCCGAGGGGTTCCCAAGTGCCATGTATGGTGGAGAGGAAGAAACTACTGTTTTCTGTCCAATAGCAAAGGAAGAGAGAAGTGCAAGGCAACCCACACGTGCTATCAAATGTCAGGAGTGATGAGCACTACAGACGTTCGGGGGGGAGCATCACCGTGACCTGGAGCAACTGGGAAAGTCTTCATGACAGGCTAGATGGGCGCTGGGTGGGAACCGAAGGCTTGGAAGTCTGAGCACTTCTACAGAGGAAGGCAGGCGTGCCCCTCAGCTCCTGAGCACTGGCGGGATTTCTGCGTTCCTCTCTTGTTTGGATCAGGGACTGAACATGGATGCCACCCAGCTTCAGAGCCTTCTCAACCAGGAGCTCCTGAAAGGTAAGGTCAGACCCCACAGGCCTACTGGCCCCACCCTCATCCCCACTGCTGAGCCAGTCTAGTGTCACCCCCACCCCCAACATTTCCATCCTTCCCGTTCTCCACCCCCAGGAGCTCCAGGGGACACGTTCTCTTTGGATGAGTGCCGGAGCATCGTGGCTCTGATGGATGTATCCTTTGCAGCCTTCTCTCCCCTTCTCTGGCAGCTCTATGAGCCCGTCTGCTCTTTGGGCTTCCCTGGGGGTCTCATTAGGACATTAGGAATGCTTTTCACTCACAGTGTTTTCTCTTCTTTGGTTCTAAGGGCTCACGCAAGAGCCTGGGTTCCTGTGGATTCTATGCTAACTCACTACCTCTCCCGAACAATCATAGCAACAGTGCCAATGGTTATCATTTATCAAGCATCTTGGCATGCCAAGAATTGTACTGGGATATATACTTTCCTTGTAGTCCTTGCAATAACCCCTATGATGTAAGAAGTATGATCCATCACACGGTGAGAGAGGGGTTCGGAGAGGCTAGGCAGCTTATTAAGTAATCCCACAGCCAGTCCGAAGTTGTGCCTGGATTTGAAGAGTTTGCAGCCTCCAAATCTGTGTCCTAACATCGTTCTACACTGCCTCCTGGCCGCACCAATGGGGGCTGTTTCCCTCTCACCCTCCCCTTACCCTGGATGAGTCTTCCCTAAATCCCTTGTTCAACAAGCCCCAATTCAGTAAAGAGAACAACCACTGGAACTTGGAGAAAACGCCTGGGTCTACAGAGAGCCGTACCCCGTTAATGCTATACCACGCCATGGCAGTGGAGGTCGGGGCGGGAGGAGCGAGCTGTCCGTGGGCACCAGTGGCCAGGCTGGGAATCAAGCCCAGGGCTCCTGACTCCTGTCCTGACCGCCACCTCCAAGGAGCTATTTCTCCCCTGCCCGCCCCCCGGAGAGACTGGCTCCCAGCTGCGCCCTGGGACCCTCCGCTCAGTGTATGCAGCCTCCCTGGAGTGAGACTGATCGGGCTCCTCCACTGTTAACAAGGCCCGATTGGGAATGGGAGGCCGGCCATTGTCGAACAAGAGTGCTTCTTGATGAAATCGCAAATCGAGCCCTGTCTCTGCTGGCCCTGGTTTGGAATCACCTGGAGACACTGCCCAACCCCCACAGGAGAAGCAGAAGGGCCCCATGGCTCCCCACAACCCCAGGGCGGGTCACCCCCGGGGAGGTGGTGTCTGCCGGAGCTCTGCAAAGCAGACAGGTCTGTTCTACCCTTCTTCCCACCCACCCACCGCTCCCCTGCAGCAACTCAGAGATAGATTCTTTTCCTCGAATTAGCTCTTGTTAAACCCATTGTACTGCTTCGGGGTGACCAGGGCTGGCTGTACCTCCTTCCCTCCACCTAGCTGCACCCACATGCTGCTTCAGGGGTTGCAGCGACCCTTCATGATCCTCCCCACTCTCCCCTGCCAGGGGCCCCACTCCACCCGGTGCAGGCTGTGTTCCGGGCTCTCTCTTCCCCTGGATGCACGTGATGCTGGCCCCCTTTTCTCAGGGCTTCTTTCCCCTTCCAGTTGCCTATTTGCCTCTGTAAAATGAAGCTAAGCCAGGCCCCTGCAGACACAGGGCTGAGTCTGCAGTTGGGGTGGGACCACGTCCAGGTGACACTGGACTGACGGTGCTACTAGTCGATGGATGGAACTGCTCCTGGCTCTGTGGGCAGGGCCTCTGCCCCCCGCGTGCTGCACGGTCCACTCTTAACGCCCCTCCAGCTGAAAGTGAACGGGTGGCTTGATCAAGAGCAGTTTGCAAGGCTGTGGGGCCGGCTTGTCCGCTGCCAGGTACCGGCATTTTCTCTTTGTGTCCCATTTAGCAAATTTCTACTGGGTGCAGCCCTACCTGCACAGTCTGAGGGGCGTGAAAGAAGAGGAACCCAGCCCTGCCCTCAAGAGGACTCACATTTTGTTCAGGGAGACCACACGCACCACTAGAAGACGCGAGGCAATGCCCAAGCAAGTGGCAGGGTGAAGGGTACTCCAGGAGGTTGAAGGAGAGAGGGGTCACCATGGACGGTAGCTAAGACTGCCAGCCAGCATCACCCCTCCCCAGTCCCCCCCTCCCCCTGCTCCCTGAGACATTACCCCTGTGCACTTGTTCGCCGTCCTATCTGCCAGGTACAACAAGATCACAGATGTGGCCTGTGGCCTCTCCATTGTTCTCAGGACAAGGTCTAAGCTCATCAGAGCTGTACACAAGACCCTGGAGCAGGGACCCTGGTTTGGGTCCAGGAGGAGCCCTTGGACTCCTCCCACTCACTCCTTCAGCCCCCAGCTCTGAGACTTGGATCCTGGCCAGGACCGAGCACCCTGATTGTCCAGCTTCAGGAATCCTCCCTGGGAGGCCTCGCCTGCCCCCAGGCCCAGTTACGTCCCCCTGAGCCCACAATAAAAGATAAGGTGTTCTCGTGGGGCTATCCCAGGATGTATCACCTAGTCCCTGACTTAGGGGACTCACAGGGCATTGTAATGGCTGATCTATCCCCCCCACCCCATTAGATTGCAGAGCAGGGGCACCCTCATGTTCATCTGCTTCCCCCAGCACCTTTCTTAGTGTCTCGTACACAGCAGGCACTCAAAAAGGCCCAACAAATGACCAAAGTAGTAAATTACCGAATGAGTGAGGGACTCCCGGTCGAGGGCTTTCTATATACTCACCAAAAGCCAAATAAGGCCAGCAAACATTCTTGGGCTGCTATTTCACAGTGATCATTGCCCCCAGGAATTGGTGGGTCACACACCTGCTGGGAGTATTTTGCCTTGGAACAATTCCTGTGGGGCGGCTGAGCAGAGGCCCAACCGGGGAGCCCCAAGTCCAGTCGCGGGCGGCTGCATGCTTCCTCCCAGCAAGTCACCTGCCCGAGCTTCTGTTTCTCACCCGGGAAGTGCAGGGCTGATCAGGGTTCGGCTGAGAAGCAGGGAGAGGAGGAAAAGTCCGGGGTGCAGGAGAGCCGCCCTGTACAAGGCTGTGTTAGGGCCGCTACCTCCTGCAGGTGGGCCAGGACCCAGGACGCGGTCCCCACCTGCCTGTTACATGTACTCACTACCGTGCAAGGCACCCTCCTAAGCTCTTCCTAACCATTTGTTCATTGACCCCTAGCAGCAATCCTATGAGGCACGTACTGTAATTGGCACTGCACTGCGGGTGGGGAAACTGAGGCCTGGAAAGATGAAGTCACTTGCCCATGGTTACACATCTGGTAAATAGTCAAGCCAGCATTTAAACCCAGTGGTTTGGTTGCAAATTCTGTGCTTTTAACCACCACCCTATGCAAAGTCTTGAGAGAGCTCCACACCTCCCAGACACAGGAATCTGCCATGGGTCGGGAGCCCAGTCTAGGAGGTGGGGAAGGACAGAAAGGAGGTTGGGAGAGAGGAAGGTGCAGGCCTGGGAGAGGAACCCACAGCCCCACAGCGGGCGGCCAAGGTGGTTGGCTTTACCAGGTGGCTCCCCCTGCTGCCTCCCTGGGGCCTTAGCTGAGCTGCCCCTGAGCCCGATCCACTCAAGGTTTACTGGAACAGTTTCCTGGGGTGGAAAAGGGATTTCCAGGACTTCTCTCTCCCCAGGACTTCCTCTTTAAGATGGGTGAGGGCACTCACATGGACTTCTTGCTTCCTTCCCCAAATCAGAGTGTTTTCCAGAACACCCAGAATCGCTCTGGAGTTTTCCTGAGTTTGGATTTGTGGAAGGCTATAAAGGATACAGGTAAAGCAGGGGCCATTCGGAGTCATCATGACTGGGGCTGTGGTGATGGTGGGGTGTGTGTGTGAGAGAGAGAGAGAGAGAGGGGTGCACACCCCTCGCATGCTGTAGGCAAGGCTGGTGCAGCAAAGCTGGACGGTCAGGAGAAAGCAGAGCAGTAGGCTCTGTGTCCTCCCCGGTTAACACCAGCCTCTATGGGCCTCCAGGCTCAGGACTCAGACTCCATCCTCCCCAACCTGAGTTCTTGTGTGCCAGTCAATTTTCCCAGTCGCCTTTTGTCTCCAAACAGCTCTAACTGTGTGAAAACAACCCCATGTCATTGATACCCTCTCAGAACTCAAGCTTGCCTTAGACGCACTTCCATCTCAACCTCTGGGCTGTCAGGGTTCCACCCTCATGAGCAGGTGGATGCACTGTCTTCACAGAGGGTTTGGAGCTAAGTGAAATCAAATGTCATCTGTCTGCTTCAAGAAGGCAAGAGCTTTCAGTCCTAGGATGATGATAAGGATACAGTAGGACGCCTAAAAGCTTCAGGGTTCAGGGAGAACTTGTACTCATGTCATCTCATTTGATTGTCTCAACTACTCTGTGATCAGGAGTCATGATCTGCCCTATACCGGTGGGTGAAATGGATCACACAAAGGTTAAGTCAGAAAACTGCCACCTTCCTTGAGAAAATGTGAGATCAGAGTCCCCCCAGGTAAACACCGGAAGGAGATGCTCCACAGTTCTCCCTCCCGCGGGCCCCCAGCCTGGAGAGCAGGGAGAAGCATCTTCCTGCCTTAGCACCTGTCCTCCCCTTTGTTCTTCATACCAGAGGGCAGTGGTTCTCAAATTTGAGCATGCACCGGAACCCTCTGGAAGCTTGTTAAAGTACAGCTTGATGAGCCTCACCCCTCACCCAAAACTTCTGATTCGGGAGGGCTTGGGTGGGGCTCAAGAATTTGTATTTCTAAGAGGTTTCTATGTGAGGCCAATGCTCTTTGTCTGTGGACCGCACTTTGAAAACTCCTGAATAGCTACAGAAAAAACGAAATCTGATAGGAGACCACACTGATGACTCCAGAATAATGAAAGGGAGACAGATAGAGAATAGCTGGAATCCAACTAAAAAGTCTTCAAAGACCAAGCAGATAACTGAAAGGGGCCATGGAGCTGACCATAAGAAAAGAGGGTGATTTTTGAATGTGGCGAGCTGGAGAGTGCTTGGCCTATCTAAAGGCATTCGAATTCTTATTTTATTAATGCTGCTGGAGACACCAAATATCTCTGGTGCATGAGGCCCACAGGCCACCAGGCTCACCCCCTTGATGGATGGTTTGGCTTGCAAGGTTCTGCTTGCCCCCCAAAGCTTGCAGCCATGGCCATTTGCCAGTTTGCTGTTGTCTGCTGTGGGATTGGTGCCCCCCAGACCTCATAATTAGTCATGTAGGACAACCAGGCCCAAAGAGAGCAAGGTGCCTCTGTCTCACCCACCTGTGGCCACCTTCTGACCGTGGTCTCCTATCTGAGGACCAGTCTCTTTCCTAATCCACCAACGTAGGACTGAATCTCCCAGTTCCAGGGACCACACTTGCTCACACTAGCAGCGTTCACACCTAAGACCCACATGCAGTAATGGGGTTGGGAAACAAGGTGGTTTCACCAGGTCACCAACGGGGAGAGGCCTGATGGATGCAGGGCTGGGAGCAAACTCCAGGTGTCCTGGAAGCTCCCTGTTCACATGGGAATTATCCGATAATTATGAAGGCTGAAGTACCCCCAGAGCAGTCAGTGTCTTGAGTATCTGGAGTTGGTATCTGGCCAAACTCCACAACAATGTCACTGGGGCCCAGCAGCCAAGAAGAAGGAGGCAACAAGAGAACCATTAAAAATATGAAGTGGAATGAATGGGCGCCTGGGCCAGACTAAATAGGAAACAGTGGTGGAAGGCCATCACTCCAGGCGCATTTCTCAGACTTTGCATGTCAGAGGACCGGACCTGCTCCCAGCTTCCTCCGGCTCACTAACCCACCCTGTGGCCCAGACTTCCTTGCAGGGACCTCCATCAGCAATGAGCTGCTGGATCTCATGACCCTCCGGTACAGTGAAAACAGTGGCAGGGTCAGCTTCCCTAGCCTGGTCTGCCTCCTGTTGCGACTTGAAGCCATGGAGAGTAAGTGTCACCTGGGTGACATCCTGGAGACCTTCACAATGACCAAGAAACATAGGAGAGGATCAGGAACGCACTCCTGCCCCAGGCCTAGGCAAGGCCTCAGTAGCGGGGTGAGCTGGAGTCTTGCATGAGGAGCCCTTGCTCCAAGAGGCAGAGCCAACCTTAGCCTGTGTAATGGTATAGTCAGCCTGGGTCCCCTGCATCCCTTCTGTACTCTTTCTGTCCAGGACATTCCCTTATCCCAGGTCTCTCATTTCCTCATCACCCTATTTAGTGTATTTTTTAGGATCAAGGTTAATTTAACTCACTGTGTCCCCTCTTCATGTTGTTTACCATTTAAACCTACACTATAGTCTTGCAATGAATGATTAGGGTCTCTGCTGAAGGAATTCACACACAAGTGAATAGGTGGGGGCAGAAGGGGGGCTTTCCCAAGGCTCCAAAAATTCAACTATATAGGTCAGACGTTTGGACACTTCTTAGCAGCCTACCCCCTTTTTTCCAATGAAATCCTATGTGAAACCCCAAGCCATACTATAGTTCAAGAGTTGTGTTGGGGGTAGAAGTGGGGTCTGGCCTCATCCTAATCCTCATCCCAACCCCAGCATGGGGCATCTCTGCAAACCCCACAGCTCTGAGCCAGGCAGTTAATAAAGACTGAGAGAACAGAGCCCTGGGAGCATAAAAGAGAAGGGTGAGGCATAAACCTCCAGAGAATTCTCAGTTGGACAAGGGGGGTTCCCCAAACTGTGCCCATAGAACACTTGATAAGACAGGCCATACAACCCCTCAGCTGTATGTGGAAGGGTGCAGAGTGCAAGGGCATGAGAAGAGGGAGAGGCGTGTGTGGGCCAGAGTGCTCACAGAGAGCTGTCCCACAGGTGTGGGGTTTGGCTGGGAAGAGACAGGAGGGAGGCTGGGCACACTGTGGAGAGTGAGAGAGTACTTTACATAGAATCACTGTATTTGCTTTTATCTCCCTTGACCTGTCCTGATTCCTCTCCTCCTCTTTAGAGACTTTCCGGAACCTCTCCAAGGATGGAAAACGACTCTACCTGACAGAAATGGAGGTGAGGTACTTTCCTCCCCCAAACACAGGACAAAGTCCCAGGCCACCTCTCCTCTCCTGATTCCAGGGGGAATTTTTCTCCCTGAGGATATTGGATAGTCTGTCAAAGGCCAGCCAAGCTGCTGTCCCCCCCCTGCCTCCAATTAGGGCCTTTATATATTGCTGGCTGCCAAGGCTGCTTTAGGATCTTGGCAGACAGATTTTATGTTTTTCCAATAGCTTAGTAAAGCAGAGGATTATGTGGGAGTCATAAATCCAAGAGGGAATGAAGAACACCTGCTGAGCTCACTGTACATTAAACTTATTCCTACTGAGCTTTAGAAGGAGCCTCCTGGCCCAGCCAGCTGGTCGACCTCAGCTATCCCTCTCATTGCCTAGCTACTCAGGGAGTAGCAAAAGATATGCAGTGATGGGGGCTTTGAGACCCCCTGCTGGGTTGGAATTATCCGGAAAGGTTTGATGAGACTAGACTGAGATCTTTCAAGGAAGGCAGTACCATTTGCCCTGCTCTGTATTAAGCGAACAAATTTTAAGCTATGTCATAATGATGATGCTTATTTCTCAGTGGATGAACCTGGTCATGTACAACTGAAGCAGGGAGTAGAGCAGACTCCAGAGTCCAGGTAAGACATGGCAGTTCTAGAATCATTTCCTTCTAGGAGCACAACTCCTTGTCTCCTCCAGGAACTGCACACAAGACTCTTGCCCCGAGAGCAGCCTCCCTAGAGATTACAGAGCCCTTATCTGTGTGAGCCAGGGCTCAACTTCTCAGGACCTCTGAATTTCAAGGCCAATGCTGCAGGCTTCATTTAAACCATGGGTGGAATGACCAGTGGACATTTATGAAAGAGTGTGGCCTGAAAGTCATGAGTGAGGGATTTAGAATTCTTATTTATTAATTCATTTATTTTTTATTGAGCTATAATTGATATTTAACAATGTGTTAGTTTTAGGTGTGCAATATAATGATTTGATATATGTATATATTGTGGAGTGATTACCACACTAAGTTTAGGTAACATCCATCACTACACATAGTTACACATTTTTTTTCCTTGTGATGAGAAGTTTATAATTTACTCTCTTAGCAACTTTCAAATACATATACAATATAGTATTGTTAACTATAGCCATAGTGCTGTACATTACATCCCCAGGACTTAATTATCTTATAGCTGGAAGTTTGTACCTTTGGACTACCTTCACCCATTTTGCCCACCACCACCACCCCCCACTTCCAGCAACCATCAATCTATTCTCTGTATCTGTGAGTTTTGTTTTGTTTTTAGATTCCACATATAAGTAGGATCATACAGTATTTTTCTTTCTCTGATTTATTTCACTTAGCATAATGCCTTCGAGTTCCCTCCATGTTGTCACAAATGGCAAGATGTCCTTCTTTCCTATGGCTGAGTCATATTCCTTTGTATATATAATGATGTAATGTATGGTGATTAACATAGCAATAAAAAAAATTTAAAAAAATATTCCTTTGTATATAAAATACATTTTCATTATCCATCCATCTACTGATGGACACTTAGGTTCTTTCCTTGTCTTGGCTGTTGTAAGTAACACTGCAGTGAACATGGGCTACACATAACTTTTCAAGTTAGTGTTTTGGTTTCCTTCAGATAAATACCCAGAAGTAGTTGCTGGATTATATGATAGCTCTATTGTTAATTTTTTGTGGAAACTGCATGCTATTTTCCAGAGTGGCTGCACCAATTTACATTCCCACCAAGAGTGCACAAGTGTTCCCTTTTCTCTACATCCTTGCCAACACATTATCTCTCGTCTTTTCTATAACAGCCATTCTAACAGGTGTGAGATGATATCTCATTGTGGTTTCAATTTGTACTTCGCTTATGACTAATGATGTTCCACGCCTTGTCATGTACCTGTTAGCCATTTGTATGTATTCTTTGGGAAAAATGTCTATCAGTCCTACTTGATTATTTTTGCTTTTGTCGTTTTTGCTTTTGGTGTCAAATCCAAAAAGTCATTGCCAAGATCCATGTCAAGGAGCTTATTCCCGATGTTTTCTTGTAGGAGGTTCATGGTTTCAGGTCTTACATTCAGGTCTTGAATCCTTTGTCAGTTGATTTTTGTATGTGGTATAAAATAGCAGCCCAGCTTCATTCTAGAATTCCTAATTTGAAATTCCAAAGAGGAAAGGCAATCACTCATCACAGGAAAGGCTAATGTGTGGAGCAACAGAAATGATAAGACCCTTGGGAGATGCGGGCTGGGTCCAGCCTCAGATCTACCATTGCCTCACTGTGCAGCTGTTCACACATCTGTAGGCATCAGTATCTATACCTCTAGCATGAGTGTGCTGAAAAATTAATGCCCATGTCACATTTCTTCTACGTGTTTATGTTCAGGGAACAGACGCTAGAGACACATAGTCCACACCCTACACTACTGTAGCAGAAGCCCCAACAGTCTGCCAGAATCTTCCAGGACTGGGGTGCTCAATATTTGTGCTCCCCCTGATTGGACATTTCTAGGTGCTAGGTATTTTTTTTGTCTAGAGGCAACAATCTACTTCCCTGGAACTTTCCACCCATGCTTCAAGTTCTACTCTGGACCACTGTAGAAAAAAGACTGCACAAGCCAGACCTTCACATCCCTGCAGATAGCTCTGCTGCCTCACCGAGGCCTCTCTTTTTACTTATTCCTGCTGATTCTCATCTGAGACCTATTGGTGACCATTTCTATATGCTAATGTCCCTTTGAAATACACAGTTCTGCTATGCAGCGGTCCTGTGATCAGCATATTTGGGGACCCGATAATTTTTGTAAACAGCATTTGTGTAATCTCCCAACTGTGTACCTCAAAATCAAGAGACAGACACTCTCTCCATAAAGAAATGATATTTTAGCATAAATATTTCCTGATGAACCCTTGGTGCTTCTTACTGAACACAGGTTAACAAACATTGCAGAGATCAAAGTTAATTAGATTCACCTGTATTTTCTTGAATCCCCCTTTCATTTCTTTTTAAAAATAGGGCATGTGAGTATTTCCATTCTGCCTGATTCCTATTCCAATCTGCATGATTTCTAATGTCAGGAATGATTCTAAGCTAATTCAACATGCAGGACCTAAAGTTTGAAGTTTTGAAATAACTGGACTCTTTCTCATTATCCTTTCTCCTACACAGGGTCCCAATTCCCTCTTAACTAATTTTTCTACACTTCCTTTTCTGAACATTATGTAAGAAGGAAGTATAATATAAGATGTATGGTTATGTGTGTTTCAGTCTCTTTCACTAATGCCTATCATCATCCCTAAGAGTGTTCCCTTGTCTTCCTCATTAATCACGGCCCTCTGACATCATACGCTTAAAGTAGATCTACTCACTCTTGGCTGATGGTTGCTGTGCAGAATTGGAGGCAGGAGGGTAAAGAAGTTCTGCCTCCAAATCTACAAACTCACTTGCATCTATAACCATCTCCCACCTTCCTCCTATTATGCTAGGGGGCATATGTCTCGGAGGATGTTCTGGATCTCATTACCTTCCCCCTTCACAAGGACCTGATAGAATGAATTCTCTCCTCTGGGTTCTGAACACCAAATCTTTCTCTCTCTCTCTCTTCTGGAGTCTTCCAATTCCCATTGAAACATGCTTATCTTTTTAAATTTCTTCCATCTCCTATTCCCTTCCAGCCACAACTCCATCTCTTCCCTTTACAGCCAAACTTCATACAAGAGCTAATTGTCTCCACATCCTCACCTCCCACATTCCCCTCAAACTTCTTCAATTTGGATTTTTCAGACATCGTCTCTCTCCCTGACTTTTGCATTGGCTCCCTAACTGATTTTCCTATATCCACCCACTTTGCTTGAGTCAATTTCTGCAGTCTAAGCACACTTTTTAAAATTCACATCCAATCACTGTACTCCCCAGGTTAAAACCCTTCAATGTCTTCCTATTACTATTTGGGAAATGTCTGAAGTCATGAACGTGACCTGTATTATCTGGCCACTGCCCACTTACCTAACCATACCTTGTATCTCTCCTCTTTCCTGCGCTCTATTCCTACCATGCCAAAATTACCTTTATTTCCTCCAGTGTTTCATTCTTTTCCCAACCTCGTGTCCTTTGCCCCTATTGTCTGCTCAGCCCTGGGGTTAGTTACATAAGTCCCGATCCTTTGTGTCTTAACCCCATTGGGTTCTCGTATTATTTACTCACTATCACACAACCCTGATCATAACATTCAAAACTCTTTGTTGTTGTTGCCTACTCCTTACATTTTTTTAGGGTCATATTGAAATGTAATTCACACATCATACAGGTTATCCATTTGAGATACAGTTCAGTGGTTTTCAGTGTAGTCACAGAGCTGTGCAACCATCACCACAATATAATTTTAGAACATTTTTCATCACCACACAAAGAAACCCATGCCCAATAGCAGTTACTTCCCATGTTTGCCCCACCCCTCTAGTCCTGGAAAACCACTAATCTGCTTTCTGAATCTATAGATTTGCCTATTCTGGACAGTTTACATAATTGGACTCGTGCAACACATGGTCTTTTGTAACCAGATTCTTTCATCCATGTGGTAGTATGTATCAAGACTTCATTTCTTTTTAGTGTCAAATAATATTTCATTTTGTAAATATACCATCTTTAATTCATTCATCTGTTGATGGACATTTATTTAGGTTGTTTCTACTTTCTGCCTATTGGGGATAATTCTGCTGTGAATGTTTGTATACAGGTTTTTTCATGGATGTGTGCTTTCATTTCGCTTGTGTGTATACCTCGGAGTAGAATTGCTGGGTCATTTGGTAACTCTATGTTAACATTTTCAGGGACTGTTTTCCAGAGCCACTGCACCATTTTACATTCCCACCAGCAGTGAATGAGAGTTCTGACTTGTCCACATCCTTGTCAACACTTACTGTTGTCTGTAATTTTTATTATAGCCATCCTAGAAAGTGTGAAGTGATACCTCATTGTGGTATTGGTTTGCAGTTCCCTGACTGCTTATGATGTTGAGCACCTTTTCAGTGCTTACTGACCATTTGTATATCTTCTTTGGAGAAATGTCTATTCTGGTCCTTTGTTCATTTTTAAATTGGTTTATTTAACTTTTTGTTATCCACTTGTAAGAGTTATATATATATATATATATA